TAAATACAAATAAATACACCTATAACAGTTTATACTGCTCACTATTCAGACAACATTGTTTGCTGTCTGACAGTAAAAGTTCATTTATGAACTTTACAACATCCTAGCTGCTGTCCATCTGTGTGGTATTATCTGTAGCTCTCTGGCAATGAATATACGCTCTAGGTCTTTTCTGTGGTTCGATTTCTGGCAGATGGTCATATCTTCATGTGCAGGATGGCTGTGTATCGCAATAAACTTTAAGTATAGGTACATGCAATAACAAAACACACATAGCTGTCTTTCTCTTTCACTATTTGATTTAAGAGGCAGCTAAATCATGTTAACGTAGCTGTGCTTATAAGACCCGATTCATTACTACAAAATGAGATTATTACAACTAACCCTTACTTGAAATGTAACAGAATGTGGATACATATTTTTTTTTATTTTGTATCATTAGTGACATTTATCAGCATTTTGTTATATACAGTATTCCATCTGTTATTTTATGTGTTTTTACACTTTTGTAAAATACAGTATACCAAACACTTGCTCATAATGCAATTGATTGATTCTGTTTGGTGCAAAAGGTCTTGTATGTAAACCCGAACAAAGAACTTCTTTTGTTTATTCTCATTTTGTCTGATAAATATACCATATATGAATGTAGCCACGGCATCTAAGAACTGGTAAGCTGTACTATATTAAACGGTACTCAAGTACTTCTGCAATCCACTGCTTTTATCCACATCAATTTTACACATGATGGCTGAGGTGCTCACCAAGGAAGGCACAATAAAACTGGAGGAAAAGTGAGCATCTATCATCTTATAGAAAAAAATAGGATTCTGATAGGCCAATGTGGGCAACAACATCCTTTACAGTAAATGCTCATTTTTCTTTCTGCATGGTGTGTGTAAGAACTATATTACTGAGGATTGTCTAGCAAGAAGAATGCCTCCCTGGTCAGTAAAGCCTAGAGATGTAAACTTTCCAAATGTTTTGAAGACTTGGGAAAAAAAAAATTTTCCCTGTTTTTTTTTCTAGAAAAATGGAAATTGAGGAAAAATTAAAAAAATAAATCAGTGTGGAGTACTGTAGTTTTACAAATTGAAAGTTGTTTGGTTACACTAGGAATGTAAAATGCAGTATGCGTAAAGGTATTATGTTTGAAATATAAGCGTAGCTTATTCAGTAAACAAACTAAACTTGCTTTTTAATTTTTGATTACCAATGGAATAGCAAGGATTGTATGGGTTAAGAACTTTTCAACTATACTGGAGAACAGGTAGCCACTCCCCTTTCCCTGGTAATAATGTAAAAGCTTCCTGTCAGTATGCATTTTCAGTTATTGCTAATACTGATCCAGAGGCACATATTGCTCTTGCAAGAGCTTGATCGATGTCCTCCTGATTTTCATGTGTAATTTTATCTATAAATTAAGGGATTGTGTATTTTTTGGCCATGGTTTGCAAAACTTCCTTCCTTGAAGATGCTGCCAGTGAAGAAACACTTTTTGATGATCCAGAAACAGCAGGAGTTTCTGGAATGAGAACTATGGAGGGAAAAGCTACTTGCACTTTCATTATTTCATCCCATAAAGTATTTTTAATGTCTTTAGGGAACCTCTGGCATGCAAGGATGTGTTTTGTTATCCTTGTGCATTTGGAAAAGAATATTCAAAGTATTTGCAAATTGCAGCTATGCTTTCAGCAGAAATCGCACTGTGGAAATGTTTCCAAAATCCCGATGGTGGTTTCACTATTTTACTGAGAGGAGGAAAAGAAGAAACTATTTACTGACCACACTTTAGGTAAAAATTCTGCTGTGATATTGGAGAACATTAATAGGAATCATTTATAAGTAATAAAGATAAATACATTTTTCTGACAAATTCACCCTCTTACCTGTCAATTAAGGCCTGAGAGGACAGAAACTATTTTCTACTGTATCCCAAAAGTCACCAAGATGGAGCCCACAAGAAAACTAAACTGAAGCCTTTCTTCTGCAGTGCCCCCAAATGGCAGAAATGCATATTTCTCTTGTTTGAGAACTGCATTGAGAAGTACAATGTTACTTGAATTGTATTCCAGGATATACTTGTCTTCAGCTGGGAGAACTTGCAATAATTTAGGACTTAAAGACTAAAAGAGACAGTCTCAGAAATCTTTCATTAAGGACTTTATGTTATATAATTTCAATACAATGTCATAGATATATTTTTTTATAATTGAAAAAGAACATATTTCATACTTATTACTTTTTCTGGAAAAAAACAACGGCTTTGAAAAAAATAGAAAAAAAATGTTTTTTCCTCAATGTTTTCGTTTTTTTCCAGGCCTTCCCATCTCTAGTAAAGCTTATGACAAAAAAGGGAACCTCCAAGGCCCAGCAACTCAGAAGGGTCTATCTGGAAGGGGGCTTGCGATGAACTTAAATGCTGTATTACAACCTTAAACAATTATTCAGTGCCATATTACGTTACTGAGTTCTGGCCAGTGGGATATTGAAATTCCTGAATGTAGATTGGTCAATGATACTGTATCTATCTGAGTAAATAATGAGCCCGTATAGTTACAAATGGATTACAATTGTAACTATAGTTATACCTGCAGTTAGAAACCACAAACATATAATCTCTTATCTATTTATAAAATATTGCCATCTTGGCATTTACTTTACATTTTTATTTATAACATCTGGAACAAGGGCTGAGTAGCCACTATGTCAATCAAGGGATTCAAGTTATGAATATTACCAGAATGTTCTACTGATATGACACTGAAAGTTTTTTTCCATATTCTTTGAAATATAATAAATCAATATTGGCAAATATCGAATTGAATCAATGCTGTTTGAATTTTTTTAGTTAGACTGAGCTATCAATAACAGTCATAGTAACATCACATTATTAGTTGACTAATAGTTTTGATTATCTTTCTAATTATCATCATTACTGGGTCCTCCTGAGAACCTGAAAAATGACAAGTTGCCACAAAGCTAGATAAATATGTGTGCTGGGATCAAATGGCTTATAAAAAAGACGTGCTGTATTGGCTAATGCAGTCCCCAGACTGTCCACCGACTTCAGATAACTATTTTAAGTTGGTCAAGTGACAATCTTTTATTTATGGGCTCAGGTAAATGCCCACTGATTAACTGGGTTAACTGGTTACCATCCACTCTGTCTTCCTTTTCAGTAGTGTCACTTCCAATAGGAAGGGGACAGTTACCTGCACGATGATGTTAAATTTTAATATTAAAGAGGAATTGTAGTGGCTAAGGTCTAGGTGTGTTGTTCATTATCTATTTTTAATTAAGTCATTGTTACATTTTTTTAAATAAATTTGGTTAGTTTAGTTTGTTAAATTAAAAAATACTCAAAGGCTGCCATCAGTCTATTTCTAATATGTTTTTGTTTATTTATTAAATTTAGCTATGTTTCATTTGTTTTGAAGAGAAAGTAATAATCAGCGCAAATACTGAAACCAAGTCCGGAACAGTCTGGTAGTAGGTAGAGATGGTTAGGGTGACTTTAATTGGGGGGTCTATATGGCACTAAGGGCAAGCTCCATAAAGTACTGTAGCAGACTCTGTGTGAAGGAGAGAAGGAGAAGCGCCTCTAAGTGCAGCATAACACTTTATTGTAATGTAAAAGTAGGAACACTCACATTTAGGTAGATTAATACAGGCATCTAATAGTAAGGTGTAACACCAAATTAGAACGGCTGTCATTGGTTCCCACTATGTCCGCTTCTCACTGGAGCAGTGTGGTGGCTGGAGGGAGACAGCTGTGGAGCCGGCCAGCGTGCATGTACCCCTCAGAGGCAGTTGGAACGCATGCTGGAGTGCAACGTCGGCGTGATGACATGAGTGGACCCGGATGCAATGCGACGCGTTTCGGAGCATGTGCTGGCTTCTAGTGGCGGAAGCACGCTCCTTTGTCAAGCAGGGAGAAGACAGAAGACCGTTCTTTATATATAGGATGGTGAAGCTCAATTAAGCTAATTGTCAATAAACGGGGCAATTTACAATAATGCAACTGACATGATGGGAATCGAGTAGGAGCATGTGGGCTAATTAAAAGCATGTGGGCTAATTAAAAATTAAAACCTGTGGGTCTTATAAATCAGTGAGGAAGAAAAAAAACAGTAATGTTGTTAATGTTGATGAGAAAAAAAAAGGGGGGAGAAATAAAAATGAGAATATCATGGGATAAGAAAAAATTGGGGAAAAGAAGAAGAAAAAAGGAAAAGGTAAAATGATGAATGCAAAAACAGAAAAGAAAAATGAAAAATAAGAATTGTAACTAATCTCAATAATAAAAATAAAAATGAGTAAAAAAATAATAAAAAGATATAATAGAAAAAAGAAAAAAAAAAAAAAAATAAAAAATAAAAAATATTATAAAAAATAAAGAATAAAAATAATTTATTTATACATGTGTATTGTACACACATATATATAGACCACACAATAAGAATGAATAATGAATACAAAAATAAAAACAAAAATAAATAAAGATAAAAGTGAATGTAAAATTTAAAAACTGTGCAAAAAAATATGAAAACATTTTTATATAAAAAATAACAATAATAAATAAAAAATAAATGGGGTTGCTTGGTGGGATGGCATATCTGAAGCAGCCAATAACATAAATACACAACATATAGAGAAAACCTTACATACAATGGTAAATATATAAATAAAAAATGTAACTGTAAGTACAATCATAATGCCAATAATAATAGTGATAATAGTGAATCTATGCATAATCCTCCCTGAGGTGTAATAAGTATTAATTATGTGTATTATAATGTAGTAAAAATCTAGAACAGTGGGAGGATGATGCATGGATATGATAATGATATTGGGGTAAAATAAAATAAAACCATATCATGTGGGAACCTTAGAGTTAGAAAAAAACATAAAGCTAAATAATTAAGAAAAAAAATACATTAAAATTAAAAATAAATGTGAATAGAACAAGAATTGGAATAAAACAAATTAAGGCAAAAATCAGCATGTGGTTTAGAGCAGGTCTTTAAATTTCCACTCGCCTGCTCGCCAATGGCGAGTGGAAATTATGATGGGGGCGAATGTGTTCCCCAGGGCCGTCTTGCTGAGCAAGCTCGGAGCTCAGGCTGGATCTGTCATTGGCACTGGAAGCCGTCAGACTGCTAAATAGCTGAGCGCAGTGAAAGCAAAGGAAGGACTGTGTGCTGTGCTCTCTGCCTCCCCCTAGAGTGCAGTACCCAGCTCTGTGAGTGTACAACGAAGTACTGCAATTTTTTATAGGGCTCGGTGTGTGTGTGTGTGTGTGTGTGTGTGTGTGCGCCTACCTAATTTCAGCTCACTCTGGTCACATGATCCTCTATATCAGCCAGTGGTGGCTTCAGGGGAGAGGAGAGAGCACTTAACAGCATGCGTGCGTGTGTGTACATGTGTGTGTGTTTGTGTGTGTCTGTGTATGCATGTACATGTGTCTGTGTGTATGTACATGTGTATATCTGTACATGTGTATATCTGTACATGTGTCTGTGTACGTACATGTATGTGTGTGTGTACATGTGTCTGTGTGTGTGTTCATGTACATGTGTGTGTATGTACGTACATGTGTCTGTGTGTACATGTGTCTTTATATGTATGTACATGTGTCTGTGTATGTATGTACATGTGTCTGTGCGTGTGTATTTCTGTGTATGTACATGTATCTGTGTGTATGCGTGTCTGTTTGTGTGTGTGTGTGTACATGTTTCTCTGTGCGTGTGTGTACATGTTTCTGTGTGTGTATGTGTATGTACATGTCTGTGTGTGTGTACAGGTGTCTCTGTTTGTGTGTGTTTGTTGGTGGCGAGTAACTCTTAAGGCCTGGCTAGTAGCTCAAGACTTGAAATTTTAAGCCCTGGTTTAGAGGATGGTGTTGATATCTAGTTCCTCATTAAGACCACCTTGGGACAGAGTATCTAATATAAAAATCCAGTAAGTTTCTTGTGAACAAAGTTTATTAAAACGTTCAGACTCTGTAGACCATCAGTGGATTTGTGATGAAGTTCAAGAAAATGACGGGGGACACTATGTTTGTCTTTGCCTTCTTCTATAAGGTGTCGATGTTCACCAAATCTGGCGCGAAGAGGCCTGATAGTGCGTCCTACATATAGAAGGCCACAGGGACAGGTCAAACAATATATCACATAGCCAGTGGAGCAGTTATAAAACTCTTTAAATGTATAGGTTTTTCCTTTGGCAATAAAGGTTTTTTTTCCATGGTTGACGAATTTGCATGTTTTGCATAAGGTTTTTTACATTGGTACATGCCTACCATGGGGAACAGACTGAGTGTGTTAGATGTGCTGGTAGGGGGGTTATATTTACTAGGAGCAAGCTTATTTTTGAGGTTTGTGTCCCTGTGGCCTTCTATATGTAGGACGCACTATCAGGCCCCTTTGCACCAGATTTGGTGAATATTGACGCCTTATAGAAGAAGGCAAAGACAAACATAGTGTCCCCCATCATTTTCTTGAATTTCACCACAAATCCACTGATGGTCTACATGTTTGGGTTTTAGAATCCATTTCCAGAAGTTTTTCTTTTCTGTTTTTGCATTTTATTCATCATTTTACCTTTTTCTTTTTGCTTCTCCTTCTTTTCCCCAATTTTTTCTTATCCCATGATATTCTCATTTTTAATTCTCCCCCCCTTTTTTTCTCATCAACATTGCTGTTTTTTTCCTTCCTCACTGATTTATAAGACCCACAGGTTTTAATTTTTATTGCCAATTAGCTTAATTGAGCTTCACCATCCTATATATAAAGAACGGTCTTCTGTCTTCTAACTGCTTGACAAAGGAGCGCGCTTCCGCCACTAGAGGCCAGCACATGCTCCGAAACGCATTGCATTGCATCCTGGTCCACTCACGTCATCACTCCCATACCGAATGTTGCGCTTTAGCATGCGTTCCAGCTGCCTCTGAGGGGTACGCGCACGCCGGCCGGCTCCACAGCTGTCTCCCTCCAACCACCACGCTGCTCCAGCGAGACGCGGACACAGTGGGAACCAATGACAGCCGTTCTAATTTGGTGTAACACCTTACTATTACATACCTGTATTAATCCACATAAATGTGAGTGTTCCTACATTTACACTGTAATAAAGTGTTATGCTGCACTTAGAGGCGCTTTTCCTTCTCTCTCTTTCATTTGTTTTTGCACTCTTTTTTTTTTAGTTAATGCAGAAACCAATCGTAGGTAACAAAAGCATAAACAAAAAATGTTTTTTGCCAAAAAATGGGCATAAATGTAACAGACATAAACAGATGGCATCTGTTTACATTTATTCAGATCCATCTAAATGGAAAATAATGCAGCTGAAAAAGGAACTGAACAGACAAGGATATAGGCAGGTGTAAATGGATGATAATTCATTTACATCCTCTTGCCAAAAAACATACTTTGCAATACTTTTTATCATGTCATGGTCTGCTAGTAAAATATGGTTTAATGTAATTAATTGCTTTCTGCCTCTGCTTACTGTATGTGTGATCATGACTCTTGCCAGGGAAGATACAGGAGGAAGGGGAATCTCTGCCTGGGGCAATAAAATAAGCATATGAAACCTGATTATTAGTTTAAGGGGTTGTCAAGGCACACAAGCCAGGGGCGATTAACTAACTGATGCGAGGACCTTTATTGGGTAGGAGGAAATTAGGGAGAGCTTACTGTGAGCAAGTAAGACTAGCTGTGATACTCTTTTCCCAGCCTGTACTACCTTTGGCCACCACTAGAGGAAGGCTCCATTTAAATATAACTGGCTGACCACACACAGGCAGATGCAAATCTTACACATCTGGTGCATTCTAAAGATTGGGGAGCAGTCTAGAAATTATCACACTCTTCTAGAATTCCTCAAGCTATCCTACAAGCTAGAATCCTTGTGTTAATCACTCTTCCAATTGTCCTCACACACCCCCACACCAGACACGCAGCAAACAGTAGCTTTCCACCACCTAGCATTTTTTCCCTGACTAGCCTGCTAGGCAAGCACACCACACACAAACAGTACAACTGCATATAGCTTAGCAAGAAACCTAGACCGAGTACATATACACTAAATTGCAATAATCTCTCTAGGGATATGAGTCCTAGCTTAATATACAGAAGCCACTTATTAATGTTATAATTTAACATCCTGAAGGTGCACAGTGCATAAAATATGTACTAAGAAAATAATAGGAAAAAAAAGACAAAAGGGACAAAGTTGGCTATTTGCTTTAAAAATAAAAGAGATAAAAAAACCCAGAAATAAACTTTTACTGAGTTGTATCCTGTAACGGGAGCACGTCAGAAAGCCACAATTCACTGGTCTCAAACCAGCTCCGTGTGAATCACACCATCGATAACTCCTCAATTTATTGAGCTATAGATATAGGCTGGACTTGCTGGACCAGCTCTTGGCCTATCAATCCTGGGGGGGGGGGGTGTTCACTTCCCAGCCCAAAGTGAATGGACCATGAATGGCTCTGATGCCTTGATCAAGGACAGGTTTTTTCAACACCAGCGCGTCAGTCTGATCACAACAAGACCAATCACTGCTTGGCTGTTGTCAATTCGTCAATACTAACATTTATAGGTAAAGTTGATCCAGGGAATATCCAATTGCCTCTCGAGGGTTCAGGAAGAAATTTTTTTCCCTGCAGGAGCAAATTGGATCATGCTTTGCTGGGTTTTTTTCCTTCCTCTGGATCAACGGTGGGTGTAGGATTATAACATTTTTTTTTTTAATGGTTGCACTGGATGGACCTTTGTCTGTTTTCAGCCATACTAACTATGTAACTATGTTGCGATCAGGCACCATATAACCATTTTAGGGAAATCTCTTGGAATCTATATAAGCTACACAAATAGTTTTACATATACACATGTCCCAAACTTTGTATGCTCTATTTTCATCTCTCTGCAACTAATGTTTTAGTTTTTATGAGAAATAAAATATTTTTCTCTGATCTTTAATATAAATCAATGGCTGCTAAACATTTGAGAGACTCTAGAGTACATAGGCCTCCCTTCCCCTGCTAAGCTTGTAGACAAAATAGCTTGAGCTTTCCTTCCAGGCTTCAGGGAGGTTATAATTTTATATCTACAAGGGTGGGGGAATTTTATTGGCACCTGGGTGTCATATCTGGTCTAGAGCTTGCTCTGTCCTTTTCAAATTCTAAATGAAGAACATGTCTATGATTGATTACTGGTTAAGGGAATACCATATTATTAATTCCACTGAATTAAACTATGTCTACAATCATTAATTCTGAAGATCAGGTCACATGTCAGCTATTGGCAAAAATACCTTACTTTTATGTTACAGGGATAAAAAAGATCTGGCTAATGTTCGAAGCATTGGGGGAAGGGAGTGCAATCACGGAAAGAGGATATGCTTGATCAAATCAGCAGTGTGTTTAATGTACTATATCTTAGATTGGAAGTCACTGGAACTGTTGAGTTGAGGGCTGAAGAAGAGGAAGATTTCCTTGAAATGTGTTCTCTTTGTGCTGTTCAGTCCTCTTAAGTGGCCATCAGTGAGGGTGGAGCAGGACTAGGTTGCCAGGATGCCAAGTGGCTGCAGAGCTCTGAGATCCAGATGCTGAGACTTGGACAGTTCTCCCTACACATACAGGTATCATGACAGTGAGCTGAAAGCCAGCTTACTCCGCTGTACATCATATTGCTCGGGATGTTTCCACATTTGTGCTTATTTATTTTATCTAATAAATGCTTTTCATTGTGACACTGCATAAGAGTGGTTGCGCTGTCTTTCACCTCCTTTCCTCGAGTTCCAGTTCCTAACTGTGTCTTAACCTTTGGTGGGTTGTATTTAGGTTAAATGAAAAATATAATATATATTCATATTTGAAGAAACACAAACAATGGGTATAAAAAGGTAGACATGCTTGTTAGTGTTTTTTTTTAAATATGAAGATTTAGTGTTTTCTAGACGTGCATTTAATTTCAATTTCGTTTTGATTTGTTTTTTAGACAAAAATTTAATTTTCAGAGATTCAGATGTATAGGAATCTCTGAATAGACATAGTAACGAATGATAAGGAATCTAAAAAAAAGTTACAATGAAACTAACAAATGTATTAGTTTCATTCTGATGAGGTCACGTGATGTAATAGTAGTTTGGGCCCATGGGGAAATTAATTAATTTTTTCGAATTCGTTCAATAATTCGGATAACAAATTAATCAGAATTTCATTCCATTTACTAATTTGGATGCACACGACGTCAGTCAATATTGTCCAATCAGCTCATGCCATTTCTCTTGGTGGGTTGAACTAGCTTCTGAAAATATATATGGAATCTGTCTTATTCAATGCTGTATCTAATGTTTACAAACCTTCTTGAAAAATTTTTCAAATCCACCCGGACCAACGGATATATGAAACAGCTTCCAAAAACAAGTTGGAACAACAAAAAAATATGACCAAACAAAATTCTTCAATGACTGAATGCATCCGAAATGAAACTAAACAAAAATATCTAGCATGCACATGTCTATTGTATTCTTCATTTAACCTATATACCTCCACCAAAGGTTAAGAATCAGTTAGGAACTGGAACTCAACAGTTCAAGCAG